GGCGAGGGGGGGGGATGGAAGGGGGAATGTGGCTTAGGGAGTCCCGGCGCGGAGAGCTGCGCTATAGACTTACCCCAAGAGGCCTGAGGATAGTAGTCCCTTACATTTTTTTAACTCAGTTTTTCTTTTGAGTTTTTTTGAAACAGGGTTTTACTGTAGTCAGGCTGAACTGGAAATTTCTCTGCTAGGTAGCTCAGGTGTGACTTTGAGCTTGGTATCCTCTTGCTTCAACTTCTCCAATGCTAGGATTACAGATATGTGCGACCGCGTCTGGCTTGTGAAACCTAGTTTCTACTGGACCCTTTGTTTGGGATCCCATTCCTCCCAGCCCAAGGGAATCCTTTAGTTAAATGATACCTCTAGGTTTTAATGTTTTGCAGCATGTCCATAAATGTAATCATAACCAAGACCGAGTTAAACAACAGTGAGATAACCATGGTATGTCAGCATGCTTGTTTTCCTGGTATCACACATGGGGCAAACTGGCTCTTAAGAGATCCTGACACTGTTGTGCTAGAGTTTCCTTCATTTATTTTTGCCTTACCATGAAACACGTAATACCTAAGGGTTGTCACGTGTACTCAGCTCAAGTTTGGGCACATGAATCAAATGACATGTGTAGCTGGAATGATACCTACTTAAAAAACAAACAATTACCTTTTAAAATAGATTTTTATTATAAAATATAACATTTGGAAATTATTTTTAAAATTTAGTTACAATGTTAATTTAATAATCTTTATGAGAAAGCACCACATTAAAATACATCTATAAAATGATCTAAAATGCCCAAGTGATTTAATAGTAATTACAATATTAGTAAATCACATGAAAGTCTAACCACAGACCTACATCAGGGCCTCAAACTTGGATATCTTCAAAGCTAAGTAGGAAGTGCAGAGTAAGAGTTGTCTAGAAGAGAGCTCAGTGGCAGAATTGGAATATGTACCAATTTAAACACTTTCCAAACTGAAATTTTATATATACCATGTAAAACTGTGGGCCAAACTAGCCTATGAGGTCTAACAGGTTGCAACTCATGTGAATGAAATTTGTAGCATCTTATATATCCCTAATTCATAAAATGGCAGAAAAAAGGTAGATGGCACTTCTTTAAGAATATATTTGTTTCTCAAAGAATATATATGCATATATATAAATATACATAAAATTTACAAATGTAAGTGTATATGGGTGTGTGTATTTGAGAATACTTAAGCTATAATTTTGAAGAGTGGATTTAAAGAAATGTGAGAAAAGTTATTTTCCTCTGTGAGTTAATCTTTGAATCTTAGACAAAAACAAAACAAAACAAAACAAAACAACACTTAGAAAATGAAAATAAGTTTATTTGAGACAGTGTCACTATATAGCTAGCCCTGGCTGACCTGGAACATGCTATAAAGACCACACTAGTCTTAAACTTCTGGTTGATCCTCCTGCCTCTGCCTCCCAAGTGCTGGGATTACAGGCTTGTGTGACCATGCCTAGTTCTTGAAAGATGAAAATTTAAAAATAACCTTTGACATTTTACTTGGGAAAATTAGTTACATCTAAGAGTTAATTAAAACTGTATCAAAATTTCATTATTTTACCAATAGAAATATCATACACCATAGTATGCTACTGCTAAATAAGAAATGCTTACATGGGCTGGGTGTCGTGGCCTATGCCTGCAGTCCCAGCACTTGGGAGGCAGAAGCAGGCAGATCTCTGTGAGTTCGAGGCCAACCTGGTCCCTGGTCTACATAGTTCCAGGTCAGCTGGCGCTACAGGAAGCTCCTGTCTCAAAAAGACAAAAAAAAAAAAAAAAAAAAAAAAAAAAAAAAGAATAAAGGATTTGTTTCACTAAACTATTGTTCAAAAACCATTCAGTAATATCACTTCACTCTATATATTGTGTAACAAACACTGTAATCCAGTTTTTAATAGCTGCACTGTGCTGTTTTAGCTGTTCCCAAGCAGTTACCACTTTGCTATCAATGACTTAACAGTAATCCTTTTTTTTTTTTTTTTTTTTTTTTTTTTTTTGAGACAGGGTATCCCTGTAGCCCCAGCTGGCTTAAACTCACTGTGTAGACCAGGCTGGCCTTGAACTCATAGAGATCCGCCTGCCTCTGCCTCCCAAATGCTTGGATTAAAGGCGTGCGCCACCATGCCCAGCTACAATAATCATTTTTAAACAGCTGTTACAAATGTCAATGATGGAGGCTTAGAGTGACACATCTTTAAAAAGCTGCGAAGGCATATTACAATTCACATGTTCTTACTAGACCAGCAAGACATGGTTTAAATGAAAGGACAGTACAAATTTCAAACAAACACATTTACTCCATACTTTCATTCAATACTAAAAACATGTTTTACCTTTTAAACATTTTAGCTTCAGATAAGTTTAACATCAGCACCAAGTCTAGCCATATTATCCCCACTTAAAATGTTAGTAGTGTATAAAACCTAAAGTCTTTCTGTACAGTAGTTTATACAATAGGAATTAATATCATATGTGGCTATTAAATTCTGATATTAAAAAGTCAAAGCTGTTAACTCTTCAGTAACTGAAGAGCAGGTATACAAGAAATGCTGTACACAGGATCTACCAATTAATGGAAAGGTTTTCCAGTATTTCCAGTTTTCAAAACTTGAAACTCTCTTAAATAGAGAAAATATGTTTGGCTCCCCCTACCACCTTTTGTTTTCTTTTTGGCAGTGCTGAAGACTGGCCCTTGAACCTACACATGCCAGTTAAATACTCTACTGAGCTACACCCCAGCCCTGACTTTTTCTCTGACCTAATCTTCAGTAAAAATTTAAAACCTATTTTAGTCTAATTAATCTTATTTATGTATTTCAGCATTCATTTTAATTATCAAAGCGTATGTCTACAAAGCAGTCAGGGATTTTTTTTTAAAAAGATGGTCTCATGTGGCCCAGACTGGCCTCAAATTTGGCACATAGGGGAGAATGACCTTGAATTTTTGACCCTCCTGCCTCCACCTCTCAAGTGCTGGGATTACAGGTGTGTACTAGCAAGTACAGCTATCTCAGCAGTCAGGATTTCTTTTTAATTCAAAGCTAACACTGAAACGTCTTAGGTATTTCTATTAAAGAAAATTACCTGAAGTTGAAAACTAGATTATAAATCTAACACACAGCCAAAAAAAGGAGAAAGATACAAGATTTTTAAATCAAGTTAATAGCAAAAATGGCATATAAGGGTATACAGTATATGTAATGTTACAATCTTAGTTTGTCTCAACAATTCTATTAAAAACCAATAGGTTTCTATAAATAAATTTTTCTGAATCAGTAAGTTATAATTAAAAACTTGAAATTTTCATAAATAGCAACAACAGACAACATATTAGGTATATGAGATTTTCAAATAATAACAAATACTTCAAGATTATATAATTCAAGTACTTCCTTTACATTACTGAAATGTATTTTAAGTTGTTTACTGACTGACCCATATCACTGTATTACAGATGAATACGGCAGCAATCAGATAGGTAGTACTGTGTTTGTTTTTCACATCATCACAGGGTGAACTCCTTTTGTAGGAAACAGGTTGCCTACACTGATTATGCAACATGGTGATCCAATTAATTAGCATATTTATTAAGGAAGCGTTCAAATGCATCATAGATGGCTTGCCTAAAATTAAATGTAAAGAATAGTCATTAGCAAAAAGGGGGGAAGGACAGTCAACATCTCTATTTCTAAAATTGTGAGTAAAACTACCAGATAAAGCATATAGGGATATCCTATACCCCATGTTCTCTAAAAAAGAAAATAAGAAGACAACATAGGAGAAAGCAAAAGACCTCACTAAACTGAGATATAAAATACTATGTATCTTAATTATGTTTTAGTGCCCTTCTGTCTTGGCCCTCCACATATTTCTTAAGGTAAAAAAAAGTATTTCCCCTAACGACCAGCAGAGTACAAATCAGCTTACCTGAATAGTCCTTGTTTAAAAAGATAAGCACTAATATGACCCCCTTCTAGGTATCGGATTTCACAACCAGGCCAGATTTCTTGTAGACTTCGAACACCTGTGCGTGGAATATAGGCATCTTCTTTGGCTTGTACCACTATAATGAGGCTTGGGTCAACTGGAACTAAGTATAGAATTTTGGTGTGTTAAAAAGCTCAACTTTTAAAAAATATAAATACCTTTAAATCATATACCAAACATGTAACCCTAGATACTTTGGAGGTTGAGGTAGAAGGAATACAAGTCCAAGGCCAGCCTAGGCAACTTAGTGAGACTCCATATCAAAAATAGAAGGGCTGGGGAAATGACTTAGTTGGTAAAGTGCTTGCCACACAAGCATGAAGACATTTGGATCCCCAGAACCCATGTGAAAAGCTGGGCATGGTAGTTTTGCTTATAATCCCAGCACTGGAGAGGTAGAGACAGGAAGATTCCTAGAACTTGTTGGCCAACAAGTTTATCAGAATTGGTAAACTCCAGGGTCAGTGAGAGAACTTGTCTCAAAAACAATAAAGTGGGGGCTAGAGAGATGCCTCAGTGATTAAGAGCACTGGCTGTTCTTACAGAGGATACAGGTTCAGTTTCCTGCACCCACATGATGGCTCACAACCATCCATCCATAACTCCAGTTCCACAGGACATGACTCCCTCCTCTGGCCTCTTTAAGCATTTCACAACATGGGTGAACTTATATACATGCAGGAAAAAAACTTATTAAATAAAACTTAAAAAAATAAAGTGGAGAATGACTAAGGAAAACACCTGTTGTTGACCTCTGGCTTCCACCATTATGTGTATATACAAATGAACACACATACACAAAAAAGAAAGTGATATACCATAATATTCAGCTAATAAAATGAAACAAATATTTCTTTTTTAAAAATACAGGGTTCTCATGCAGTCCAGACTGGCCTCTGAGTCACTATGTAGCTAAGTACAACTCTGAACTCTTAACCCACCTGTCTCTACTTTAAAAAAAATTATTGTTTTGTGTATGAGTGTATTGCCTACATGTGTGTAAGTGCACCCATGTCGTGCAATGCCCGTGGAAGTCAGAAGATGGTATCGGAGCCCCTGAAACTGGTAGATGATTGTTAGCTGCCATCTAACACCAGTGCTGGGAACTGAATCTAGGTCTTCAGCAAGAGCAGTCAGTAGTAATCTTAACTGCTGAGCCATCTCTCCAACCCCAATGCCTCTACTTCTTAGTACTGGGATTACAGGCCTGTTCTACCACACTTGGCTCAAAAGCTAAGCTAATGCTTTTTTGTTTTCTTCTTTTTTTTTTTTCTTCCAGTGCTAGGGATTGAACCCAAGGCCTTATATAGACTAGGCAAGCACTCTTAAACTGAGTTACAGTCCCGGCCCATTCTTAATGCATTTTTGAATGAATAAGGTAGTCTTAGGTTTTCAAGGATAAAAAGTGATACAGTTAAATGACCGATTTATCTTGAGGGAACACATTCCAGAACCTCCCTCCCACCCAAATTATTGAAAATGTCAGAAATCTCATAGAGCTTCCTTAAATATATTTAACAACTGTTAACAACATATCACAAATGTTCACAATTTCATATGAAAATCAGTACCTGAGAAGTTTGCTACATGAGTGCATTCATCCATGACGCCTTTCATGAATATTAAAGATTCTTTTTGAAGGTTGTTTCTTCTCTGTTCTCTGCTGAGCAGGTGATATGACTGAGGGTTGTAATTTGAATAACAACTTTTGTGGGCTGCAAGTGTTTGATTCAAGCACTCTATCTTAGAGTTATCTTGAAACAAGTGTCCTTTTGATGTAGCACTGATAGATGTTTTACCAGAATTACAGCACTCAGCAGGCTTTTGGGACACAACTTGGTCTGACATATCTAAATTTAAACTTCTGGAAACCAGATTCAGATTAGTCAGCTTGTCTGCACTGCTAGGAAAGCATTTCATGAACTCATGTCCCATTTTGAAAGAATCTGTCTGAATATATGAGAAAAAGAAAACATTTACTATACAGTACAACTTAATATAGCATATTTAAAACAAGAAAAATTATCAATAGATAAGCAAAGTATGTTAAGACACATACAATGGAATATTGTTTTAAAAATTAATGAAAAGCTAGGTGTAGTAGCACACACCTGTAATCACAACACTTAGCAAGCTGGGGCAGAAGGACAGGAAGTTCCAGGCTAGCCTAGGCTAATAGTGAGAACTTGTCAAGAAAAAAAGCAACAATAACCACAACACAAGTTTCCCCCACTTATTTTTTTGGCACAGTGTCCCAATAAATAGCTCAGGCTCCTGTCCAATTCTTGACCCTCCTGCCTTAGCTTCCCAAGTACAAGGATTACAAGCATATATTACCAAGCCCCACATTACATCTCCCTGCCTTTTATGAGACAATTCTTCCTATGTAGCTAAGGCTGGCCATGAACTTGTGATTCTTTTACATCAGCTTCCCAAGTACTGAGATTACAGGCATGTGCCACCACCTCCAGCTCTAAATTTCCTTTTAAGACATATGGGTAAAGGGTTGGAGAGATACTTTAGAGGGGATCTGGGTTCAGTTCCTGGCACATACATGGAAGCTAATAGTCATTCATAATGCCAGATCCAGGGGATCCAACACCTGGCCTCTGTGGGTACTGCAGGACATGAGTACACAAATACATGCAGGCAAAATACTCATATACACAAAATTAAAAAAAATCAAAATAATTTTTAAAAAGACATATGAACACTGAAGACATTATGCCATGTGAATAAGCCAGAAACAAAGGGACAGATACACAATTCTGCTTATAACTAGGTCCTCCTCAGTCACATTCAGAGATGGAAAGAAACTGGTGGTTGTTAGGTGTGCAAGAAGGTGAAAGTAGTAATTACAGTTCAGTGGGAAGTTTTAGTTTGAGAAGATGAAAACATTCTAGAGATGGATGGTGGTTATGGCTGCACAAGAGTGTGAATGTACTCACTGTCGACGAATTGTACCATTTCAAATTATTGACTGATTGAATGATCGATATTTTGTGTGTTTTGCCTACATGTATGTAAAGTGTACCCATGCATGTGATGCCCATGGAGGCCACAAGAGGGTATTGGATCCCTTGGAACTAGACTTCCAACCAAGTAGCAGCCAAGTAGGTGCTGGGAATCAAATCCAAGTCCTCTGGAAAAGCAGTCTGTGCTCTTCACTGCTGAGCCATCTCTCCGGCCCTGAATCATACCATTTCAAAATGGTTTAAATGGCAAAGTTTTTCTAAATGGTAGATTTACTATCATTCTTAACCAGGGACAAAGGAAAAAACAGATAGTAAAATGTGAAGGAAGACTGAGATAAATTACATGTTAATTACTAAGTGTTTCTTACTAAACATTAAACAGTATCAATCTGAATCATGTTTTATTGCCAAAAATTTCAAGATCTAAAATCTGCCTTAACTTCAGAATGTCTATATCTGGAGTGTATCAGGACAATGTATAAGAAATATCAGCTACTTCAAACCTCTTTCTTGGGACAGACTAACAAGAATTAGATATTATTAATGAAAAAATATTGCCTATGAAAGCCTTAAAAGTATATTCTAAGTTTATTAACTTATAAATATAAAACATAATTCAAATAAAAATAACATTTGTTATCTATACTAAAAGCAAAGTTCAAAGAACAACTGACATGCCTGAAAGATATATTTGCAACTTATATGACAATGGCTAATCACATCACTTTTTTTCTATATATATATATTTTTTAGACAGGGTCTCACTATGTACCCTTGGCTGGCATGTAACTCGCAATGTAGACCAAGCTGGCCTCAAACTCACAGAGATCTGCCTGCTTCTGCCTCCTGAGTGCTAGCACTATGGCATGTGTCATCAGGCCTGGCTCAAATCACTTTTATTTTTTTTATTTTTAATTTATTTTTAAATTAATTTTTATTTTACGTGAATGAGTATTTTGCCTGCATATATGTAAGTGTACTTGTGTTGTGCAAAGCCCATAGAGACCAGAAAAGGGTGTTGGATTCCTGGAATTGGAGTACAAACGGCTGTTTATTTATGTCTCAGTTTCTATCTCTCTCAAAAACAAAGGCAGAAGAAACCTGAATTAAATGCGTAATCAACTTTTACTCCATTGTTACATGAACATTAAAATACTTACTCCACAATATTCAAGCATATGAATGATTTCTTCTTCATAAACTGTCTGTGTATAATATTGCTTTTCCAGCTCCCGCCAATTAATTGATTTACTCAATACACCCTAAAATAATTAAAGTAAGATCAAATCTCAACATATTTTGTCCAATACTTTTATTTTTATTAATTACTTTATAAGACAGAGTTAATGAAAGCTGGCTTGAGATTATCTATCCTTAGAAAGACCTGCTTATATCTTTGATTGGAGTTTGGGAATTTGATCAATAAACAGCTTTTACATTGATAATTTTCCCTAAATGGTAACAATATAATATTACCCAGTTTGTAAAGCAATCTAATTTCTGCTTAGTACTGCAATTCCTTCTGAATTTCCAGTTCATGCTAGGCAGAGGGCACCTGAACCACCGGTTAAAGTCCTGCTCTGCTAGATTCAATGATGGTTAGCACTTCATATTCTGTCACAACTTACTGCTACAAGAATTAAGCATACGGTAGCTGTGGTGGTACATGCCTTTAACCCCAGCACTCAGGAGATAAAGGCAGGTGGATTTCTGTGAGATTGGGTCAGCCTGTTCTACAAGGCAAGTTCAAGGCCAGCTATGGCTACAAAGAGACCTTGTCTCATAAAGACCAAAAAAACTGGATGAGGATTCTTGCAAAACTCACATTAGGTTTTCATGATGTGCTGTTTCCTTTTGTTGATTTTGTATCATATCCTTTGGCTATGGTTCGGTTTTAGTCATGAGACAAATATATTAAGTTCTATTATTCCTTCTAGTGATCATTAAACCTAGGAGTGATTTGGGGGACCTCCCAAGATAATTATATTTAATTACATATTATCAAATATAAACTGCAATTGAATTACCGTAGTGAAGACCCCAGATGCTGTGGACCAAGACAAACATGGAATCAATGGCATAGGCTTGGGCCAGTTGGATACTGCTAAGGAAGCCATCTGTAATATGACAACAGTGAGTTTAGAGTTTCTACACCAAAGTGAAAAATATTTAGTAGTAAGAAATACTTTGTAAAGTAAGTAGTTGGTGAGATCAGACGTGAACACAGGTCTGTAGACATTTATAGAAGGTCTTTCTTATGACCTTGGTAAACTCCCCAAATCATAAAAATTCAACAACATATAATTTTCCCTTTAGGAAGCAAGAAAATACAACTTTAGGTAAAACAATTTTTTGAGAGTCTTGCCCAGGCTGTGTAGCCCAGACAGCCTCAAATCTGTGCTCTTTCTTTCTCAATCTCTCAACTGCTGGGATTACAAGCATGCACCTGCCATACCTGACTTTGAGTAACTTTTTGAACTTAATTTTAAAATTTTTTAAAAATTTAAAAACTTTTTATTTTATGTGTATGTGTGTATCGCCTGCGTGTAGGTAAGTGCACCCATGTCGTGCAATGCCTGCGGAAGACAGAAGAGGCTGTTGGATCCCCTGGAATTGGAGTTACGGACAGTTGTTAGCTGCCATGTGGGTGCTGGGATTCGAACCCGGGTCTTCTTCAAAACAACCAGTGTTCTTAACCACTGAGCCATCTCTCCAGCCCCCGAACTTAATTTTTTTTGGGGGGGTCTTTTTGAGACAGGGTCTCCCTGTAGCCCCAGCTGTCCTGGAACTCACTATGTAGACCAGGCTGGCCTTGAACTCACAGAGATCTGCCTGCCTCTGCCTCCTGAGTGCTGGGATTAAAGGCATGCGCCACCATGCCCGGCTTGAACTTAATTTTTTAAAAATTACATTTATTTATTTATTTATTTATTTATTTATTTATGTGTGTGTTTGCCTGAAAGTATGTTAAGTGCACCATATGCATGCCTGGTGCCAGAAGAAGTCATCAGATCCTCTGCCACTGAAATTACAGCTGGTTTTGAGCACCATATGGGTGCTGGGATCTGAACCTGGGTCTTCTGCAAGAGCAGCAAGTGCTCTTAACCACCAAGCCATCTCTCCAACCTCTGAATTTAATTTTTTATAATTCAAATGATCTACATAGCAAATCATGTATTTTAAAAAATATACTCAATGACAAATGTATGTCATACAATGAACCAGAGTACACTTCCGGTCCTAACTGAACTAATTGCTTCATGGGGAAAAGAGACTGCTAAGCAATCAACTATGGTACAGTGTGAAGTACTACTGAGAGATAATATAGTCTGGACGCAAGGCTGGGAGTCAGGGCTTCCTACAGGAAGGGAGCTTTAAGTAGAAGCACAAGCAAAAGCTGTTGTTTGGCTAGGTAGTGGCACAAGGGGGCACTAGAGATGCTAGTGCCTGGCACAGCCCAGCCCATGTAAAGCAAGCTTCTAGGTTTTGAGCAAGAAAGCAAAAATCAGACTTAGAGTACTCGAGTTATATCACAGAGGAAAAGAAATGTTAGAAAAGAATGGACACAGAGAAAGCATTAGGAGTCTGTTTCAGTACAGTCTTCTAGACAAAGGAAAAATAGATTGGTGGTACTGGGAATGGAGTAAAGCAATAAATGAAAAGTGAAAACTATTGAAGTACATTATATGTGTTATGAAAATGTCATAGTAAAACCTATTATATTGGATAATTACTATGCACTAAAAAAGGAAAAGCATGTTTCAATTTAGTTTTCTTGTAACCAATTGCAAAAGTGAGGATTATATTTGACATTTGAGAAATTCAATTTCATAATTAACTTTTAAAATATTAAGTACAAAATCTGAGCTATACCTGAGGAGTTATAGAATATATGTTTATAACATATATCACACAAAAATAACATTACTTCATGATTGGAACTGTTTCTGCTTCCTGCTTTCACCAACACTAAAAATAATTTTATGCCTCAAAGTAAATTAAAAATTCCCATTTATACATATAACTGTAATGAAATATAAGTTGAAATGAAAAGGCTTACATGTCCTCCCATGGATATTCCAGTCATTCCTAAAGGGCCATAACCTTCCCTCTCCAGCCAGTGCAAAAGGGCTGCAGACTCTAAAATGAGAGCTCCTCCCATCACAAAAAGGTCAGACACGTTTTTCAAGCTGGACCTTCTGGCCTCACAAAACAAAACAGAAAATGATTTCATGTATTTACATTTTAAACTTTTTTAAACTTAAAAAATTATTACTGTATGTGTGTGTGCATGCACACATGCATGACACGTACATGCTGCAGCATGTGTGAGAGGACAACTTTGTGGAATCAGTTTTCTCCTTTCACCTTTAAGTGGGTTTCAGAAATTGAACTAAGGCTTGTGTAGCAAGTGCCTTTACCCGATCAGCCATTTCACTGGTCCACTTTTACATTCTTAATTTTTCTGAAATGAAGGCTTGCTGTGTTGGCCAGGCTGGCCTTAAAGTCACCATGTAGCCCAGGATAGCCATGAATTTGAGAACTTCCTGCCTCTTCCTCCTAAGTTCTGGGATTTCAGGTGTGTGCCACCATGTTTCACTCTAAAAAATATATGCTTAAATTAACTGATATTTGAGACAGGGTCTTGTTATGTACCCCAGGTTGGCCTTGAACTCCAGATCCATCTGCTTTAACCTTAGTGCTGGGAATTCAGGTGTGTCTCATGAAACCTGGCTAAATTAATTAAAAAAAATCAATGTATCTAGAATTTAATGTTTTCATTTTCTTATTATGATTTGCATTTTTTTCTTGACACAGGGTCTCATGTTGCCCAGGCTGGCCTTGAATTCACCTGAAGTTAAGCATGACCTGGAACTTCTGCTCCATCAGCCTCTACTTCACAAATGCTGTCCTTCGTGGAGGGCCTACAATAGTACTACAAGAGCATAATTCTCATTAAAAAAAAAAAACAACCCTGCCTTCTGTAACATGCTCTGAGGAAAGACTTGGTAGACACCAGCTATTAAGCTCTTTGATGGCCAAGGTTCGGTTTTCAAATTGCTAATCTTTATGGCCACTGGTTATTTGCACAAAATTGCTAAAAATAGGCATCTATTAAATAATGATTAAGTGAATTTTTGTATATTTTGATAAGATTCATCAGAAGGCTGAAGCAGGAGGAACAGGAATTCAAGGTTAACCTGGATTCTACAAGTGAGAACCTGTTTCAAATATTAACTAACAGTAACAAATCAAATAAAAACAAAACCCCGTGCTCTCCTCCATCAAAACATATCACAAAGTCCATCAGAAAAGAGTTCACTTTATCTTTGTCTCCTATCCTCAAGGTAGTTTGCTCTATCTCATTACAAAATGTTTTGGCCTTGTATGGAAGTCTTAAATTCTCAGGCTCTGGTTCCCATCATTCAGCTTCTTCTTTTCCACAGAAGCTAAGGTAAGCTTCTGGGAAAGCGGATGTTGATGGTGGACCAGTCTAACTGTTCACTCACTTTTGATGAAAATAGACTTAGTAGACTTAGATGACTTTTTTTAAAAAAAAAAAAAAAAAAGAAAGAAGCTAGACAGGGTGATTCATGACTATGATCACTTAAGGAGGTTGAGTCAGGAAAATCAAAAGTTCAAGGCCAGCTTGCACAACTTGATGAGGTACCTCATTCAATTTCCAAAAATGCAAACAAAACAAAACAGCAGCCTGTGAATCAAATATAGAGCCTTTCCCACACCAGGTAAGTGTTCTGTCACTAAGCTATATGCCCAGCCAGGAGCCAGTATCTTTTTTTTTGTTTGTTTGTTTTGAGTCAGGGTCTCTTTGTAGCCCCAGCTGAGTTAGAACTTGTTATGTAGACCTGACTGGCCTCATCTCACACAGGCCTGCCTCTGTCTCCTGAGTATTGGAATTAAAGGTATCTATCACCATGCCTGGTATTTTTTAATTTTTATTTTTTTGGTCTTTTTGAGACATGATCTCCCTGTAACCCCAGCTGGCCTGGAAGTCACTATGTAGACCAGACTGCCCTTGAATTCACAGAGATGCGCCTGCCTCTGTCTCTCAAAGTGCTGAGATTAAAGGTGTGCACCACCACACCCGGCTCCTGGCATTTTTTTAACAATATTTTTTCAATCTATTTCTTGAGTAAGTAATATGAGAAATAATATTTTCTAAACATAATTCTATCAACAATTCTGTAAGGAAGATATTAGTATTTGCATACTATAAATGAGGTAACTGGTACTTAAAGAGGCTAAGACATATAATTAGTAAACGGCAAGTTATAATTCCAGCCTAAGTCTCCATGACTCAGTCTTTTTATTAACCCAGGTTGCCTCTTGTTGGACTCAATACACTTTTCAATTTTTAAGCAGTTTATTGATAAGGTAAAGACATGACCTGGATTTGAATCCAGAGTTTGGTTCCAGATTGAATATTCTTGATTTAGCTTGGACTTCAATTTTTCACACAGTTTCACAAAGTTCATTCCAATCTATTCCTCAGAGTGGACAGGTTTGCCTCCACCACAACCCATTTCCATGTAAGCCTTCCTTTTAAATTTTTATTGTCTGCAGTATTGGGGACTGAACCTAGGGCCTCACACATGGTAAGCAAGTGCCCTTCCACCAGATGCTACATCTCTAGCCTTCTTACTACTCTCTATTTTGAGAGAGTCTCTAAATTGTTCGGCTGTCTTTAAACTTGCTCTGTAGCCTAGGCAGTCCTTGAACTTGAGAGCCTCCTGCTTTAGCTTCCTGAGGAGTTGGAATTATAGGCTTGTACCACCAGGGGTAAGTTGTTTTTGTTTGTTTTTCTGAGAAAAGGTCTTATATATCCCAAGCTGGCCTTGAACTCCTGACCCTTCTGCCTCCACCTCCTAAGTGCTGTGAATATAGGTATCTGCCACCATGCCTGGCTCAGGTCAGAGCTTTTGATTTCCCATGAACATCTAGTTCACCAAGTTTTAATCATTTTTCTTTTTGCTTAAAAAAAATCTTATCATCTTATGTGTATGAATGTGTGTTACGTGTATGGGGTTGCAAACAACCATGTGTGCAGAGGCCAGAGGAAGACATTGGGTATCTCTGTTTTATTTCTTTTAGACGGGATCTCTCACTGAACTTGGAGCTTGGCTGCCAGCCAGCAAACCCCAAAGATGCTCCTGTTTCGGCTCTAACCCCATCCCCTAGTACTGGGGTTACAGGTGTAGGTAACCACACCTGGCTTTCAACCTGGGATCTAGGGATTTGAGTTCAGGTCCTCATGCTTGCATAGTAAGTGCTCTTATTCACTGAGACATCTCCTCAGGCCCCAGAAGGTCTTATCATTTTAGTTTCAAAATTAGTTAGAACATTTGCCACCACAGGTTTGCCACTTTGTGAAACTTTCCTGAATTATTGGAAATAATTTGGATTCTTTCCTGATACTCTTGGCTCAGGTCAAAGTAAGCTTCTAAAAGCAGGAATCAGGCCACTGATCTTAAAATCTTCCAGACACTACTCATTCAGTAAAATTTAAAGCATGGTGGCCCTTCCTAATCTGTCCCTTGCTCCTTCTCTGACCTCAAGAAGTGTTTCCCCTCCCCACATTCCACATACTTACACTGGGATTTTTGGTTACTGTTCCTTTTCTGTGGACAATATTCTAGGTCTTTACCAGGATGGCTCCTTCACAGTATATATACAACTCTTCTTGTGGTAACTGTTGAGACTCTTTTTCCCATTGTCCTGCTCGCCCCCTCCCCCCTGCCCCACCTTCTTGGCATTGATAAATATCTTAAAACATCTAATTATGCTCACTACCTTCCATAACAGAACATGAATTACTATTCTCCCTCACTCAGTTTTTCTTTTCCTTCTTTTTTTATAGGGTGATGGCTAGAACCCAAGGGTTTGTACAAGCAAAACAAGCACTATACTATTGAGCCACATTCCCAACCCTGAGAGGACTTTCCTTATTGTCACTGTATTCCACAACTAGGGCCATTTTTTTCTTTGTCTTTTTGAGACAGGGTCTCTCTGTAGCCCCAGCTGACCCGGAACTCAATTATGTAGACCAGGCTTGCCTTGATCTTACAGAGATCCACCTGCCTCTGCCTAGGGTCAAATTTTAGAATTAAAAAAAAGAAAGAAAGAGAGAGAGAAAGAAGAAAGAAAGAAAGAAAGAAAGAAAGAAAGAAAGAAAGAAAGAAAGAAAGAAAGAAAGGGGGCCAGAAAAGGAATCAGTGGGCAAGGAACAGGAAGGGAGAGTGAATGATGGGAGCTGTTGGAGGGGAGGGAGTGGGTATGGATTTGATCAAAACACCTTATTTATATGCATGTATGAAATTCTCAATAAAGATTTTAGTTAAAAAAAACCCAAACAGACTACAACAGTTATCAAAGTTTATCATTTTAAAAGACCAGAAAAAAAGGTTGGAGGGGTGGATCAGTAGTTAAGTGCACTTGCTGATCTTGCAGAGTGTCCAGGTTCAGTTCTCAGCACCCATGTAGTAGCTCACAACCACCTGTAACTCCAGTTTCAGGGAATCCAATGCCCTCTATGATTTCTGCAGGCACACACACCTGTGTGAGTATACAAACATGCAGGCAAGCACACACACACACACACAAAAAATCTTCAGCTGGCTTGGTGGTGTGTGCCTTTAATCCCAGCACTTGGGAGGCAGAGGCAGGCAGATCTCCGTGAGTTCAAGGCCAGCCTGGTCTATATAGTGAGTTCCAGCTGCCCTGCCCTGCCACCAAAAAAAAAAAAAAAAATCTTCAGGGACTGGAGAGATGGCTCCATGATTAAGAGCACTGACTGCACTTGCAGGGGACTAGGATTCAATTCCCAGCACCCACATGGTGGCTAACAACTGTCTGTAACTCCAGTTCCAGAGGATGCGACCCTCTCTTCTGACCACTGCAGGCACTGAACAACACGGGTTCACTTACATACATTCAGGCAATACACTCATACACATGAAAATTAAAAAAAAAAAATCCTCAAAACAGGCATGGTGAGGCATGCCTTTAATCCCAGCTTAGCCTGGTTGACATAGTGAGTTCCAGGTCAGCCACAACTACATAGTGAAGCACTATCTCAAAAAATAAAAAGTCCAGAAAAAGTTTATCTTTAGACTTCTTATACTTTATATAAGAATAAAAAGAATGTTTAATTGTATAAAATAAATACACTTTTAAAGGGACAAAGTTTGAGGTCTGAAGAGATGGCTCAGGGCTTGTTAAGAGCACATATTGCTCTTGCAGAGGAACAAAGCATCCACACTGGGTGAGGCACAACTGCCTGTAACTCTAGTTCCAGGGGATCCAACGCTTGCTCTAGATTCTGCAGGTACCTGCATTCACATGCACACGCATGCATGCACGCACACACACACATACACACACACACAAGGAAAAAAAATCTCTATAAAATGGACAGTCTTATCATTTGTTCAAGTATGATTTCACAAAATATGTCCTAAGTCAGCCTATTAAAGTTTCTTAATTCTATCACTTTACCAGATATTAAAATGCAAAAATCTTAAAACAAGAATTCAAGTCAACTTTCCTCTATAGTTTTACAAGTAAACTTAGGAAAGATAGCACAAAGTTACCAAAAATTTACTCTAAAGATTGCAAAAGTAAAGAAAATGAAAGTGACAGATACTTACACTTGGTCTTTGGGTTTCCTGCAGCCATTTGAGAACATGGGTCAAAGAGAAAGTTTTAAAATAATTAAATATACTTTTGTCACAAAACATATTTAAACAAAATAGTTAAATTTGAATACAGTATCCAAGAAACTACTTCCCAGTTACTTCAATAAGCTGTTTGGAAGTTCTCATATTTTTCAACTTAATTTTTTTTAATTTGCATAGTTTCACTGAGATATAATCACATACCAGAAAATTCACTCATTTGAAATGTACAAATTAATGTATTTAGCATAATTATTGGGTTGTATAATTGTGAGTTTAGATTGAAAAATGAAGTTTATTGATATAATGTCTTAAGGGACCTGATCTTAGGTTCTCAGTGTCTGTATGGCAGGCACTTTACTGACTGAACTGTGTCCCTGGCGCAGATGTGAAACATAGGTTAAAACTGCTTTTGTAAAAGTATTAGGGGCTGAAGAGCCACTTCAGTGGTTCAGAGCACTTGCTGCTCTTGCAGAGGATCTGAGTTCAGTTCCTGGCATTCATGTCAAATGGCTCAAACCACCTGTAATTTGAGATCCAAGGGGATCTGACACCTCTGGCATCCTTGGGTACCTGTACTCATGTGCATATACCCACACATAGACACATACACATAAAAGTAAAATACATCTTTAATAAAAAGGGGTTAAACTAATTTTCAGTCATTTTTAATGAGTGCCCCTTTCACAGTAGCTTTCCTAAATACTGTGTTAACTTAAAAAAAAATCATTGGTAATTACTGAACTTTAAATTTCTTTTATTACCAGAAATCTTTATATCTTTATATCTGTGCATCAGTTTCTTTTCTTCTTCTGTGAAGTCTGATGTCATCTTGAAAATTAAGTTAAGTATTGTTCTAAACCTTCACCTTTACTATAAATAAAAAATGAATATTTCCTTAATAGCAAACACTTGACTTATTACAAGTAAGTCCTGCATAAGAGTCTCAGGAAATAGAAGTACAATTTACTATTATCATATAACAGGAGTAAAATAATGTTAGGCTGGCTATGTAGGCTTCAAACTTGCAACCCTTCTGCCTCAACCTCCTGTAGCCAAAGCTGGTCTTGAACTCCAAATCCTTCTGCCTCTACTTACCATTATATTGTTTTTAAAGGCAAACAAATAAATAAATAAATAAATACCAAAAAAACCCCAAAAACAAAACCCTTTCAGTCTTTTCTCATTTTTGCTTTTTAAATATTTTCTGAAAGTGATGACTGAATTTAACTGATTTTAAAAATTAGTTTTTTGGGCTGGAGTGATGGCTCAGTAAAGAGCACTGGCTGTTCTTGCAGAAGACCTGGGTTCAAATCCCAGCACGCACATGGTGGCTAACAACTGTAACTCCAGTTCCAGTGGATCTGATGCCCTCTTCTGTCCTCCAAGGGCACTGCACGACACAGATGCACTTACCCACACACAGGCAATACACTTATACACATAAAATAGAAATAAAAAATTAAATGTTAGTTATTAATGACTATTCCTTTTGATGAATAAATATATAAATAATAAGAAAGTAACTTTTAAGGTATCACAAAAGGATATAATAAGGGTTTTCTAGTAACAATGAAGCCATTCGGGCCTCCTTAATCATAGGACGAGCCATGAGTGTTCGCCGCCTCCAGTAATGCTAAGGAAAGAAAAGATGATATACTTAAACAAATACAATAACCCATTGCTATGTATTAGTGTCAACAAATGTTCTAGGTATTAAAATGTCATAATGTCCCAAATCTTACATGGTCTCCTGTTCCAGCCAGATGAATGCATACAGGTCTGTATTTGCTGCTCCATTCTTTAGGCACAATAAATTGGAACCTATAAAAAATGAAATTTTCTTTAAAGGGCTTTAGCTACAAGTCATATATATATATATATATGTTTAACTTCTTTTTGGTCTTTTTTTTTTGACAGGCTCTCCCTGTAGCCCTAGGTGGCCTGGAACTTGTTATGTAGACCAGGCTGCATCAATCTCACAGAGATGTGCCTACTTCCCCAGTGCTGGTATAAATGGTGTGCACCACTATGCCCAGCTTTTTAATTATTTTTTTAAAAATATTTTATTTCCAGGTGTGGTAGTGCACACTTTTAGTCTCAGCACTCAGGAGGCAGAGGCAGGTGGATCTCTGTGAGATTGAGGCCAGCCTGATCTACATAGCAAGTGCCAGGCCAGCTGTGATCCAGTCTCAAAAAGACCAAAAATTATTATTTATTATTATTATGTGTAAGAGTGTTTGCCTGCATGTAGGTAAGTGCACTCGTGTCATGCCATGACCTTGGAGGTTAGACAAGGGCATCAGATCCCCTGGAACTGAAGTTACAGACAGTTGTTAGCTGCCATGTGGATGCTGGGAGTGGAACCCAGGTCCTCTGCAAGAGCAGTCAGTGTTCTTAACTGCTTAGTCATCTTTCCAGTTCTTTTAAATTATTTTTGAGAGAGGGTTTTGCTACTATATAATTCAAGTTGGCCTGGAACTCATTAGGTATCCCAGGCTGTCCTCAAACTTGAGATCCTCCTACCTAAGCATCCTCTGTGCTGGGATTACAGGTGTGAACCATTATGCCTGGCTCTAAACTTCCAATTTTTAAGAATTTTATAATTAAATTACCTCTTTTCTTTTAGGGTGGGCCAGAGGACTTAATTTATGTATTTATTTATCTTGGTGTATGTATGTGTATGGGTGCATGTGTGTGCTATGGAGCACTGTGGAAGTCAGAGGAAAACCTGCAGAAATCAGTTCTTTCTTTCTATCATGTGGATTCTAGGAATTAAACTCATATTGTCAAGCTTGGTGGGAAGTGCTTTTACCCACTGAGCCATCTTGCTGGCCCACAATTAAATTATCTCAAAGAAAATATTTAAAATTTTGACATTAAGTTGTATTTATTTTGAATCCAAAAGTTACACAATATTATGAATTTGCTTTCTGTTAGAACATTAAAATATTCCACCAATATAACAAAATTTATTGTAATTCATCTTTAGGTTAATAGCACAACTGTATGAATACATAAAGTTTTTTATTTTACATCATCACTAAGATATATGATAGCCTTTTTAAATTTTTTTATTTTCAAGACAGGATCTCATATAGCCCAGGATAGTCTCAAACTCACTGTGAGTAGAGGATGACCTTGAACTCCTGATTCTTCCATTTACCCCCTAAGGGATGGGATTAGAGACTTATGATACCAAGATACTATGCCCAGCTCACATATAGCAGTCTTAATAATGAGTTAAGGCTTAGATATAGCTCTATCTTCTCTCTTCTTCTCCCAGAACTTTTCTCTTTTGGGACAGGATCTCACTAGTTCAGGTTGGCTTCAAGCTTACTATATAGCCCAAGCTGGACTCAATGTCAAGATGATCTTCCTGACTCAGCATCCTGCATGCTGGGATTACAAGGATGTACCATGACCATGCCTGGCTTGTCTGTTCCCTTCAAAAAAGAAATGTTTGGGTGTACAGTTGTTGATATGTAATAAAATAGTTTATATTTTTTATTTGTTTCTTTGTAATGTATGATAGCATATGATTCATTCAAATTTTGATACTTAATTCCAGGTCATTTGTGATGCTTGGAGGTAAAGTAAATATATACCAGAAAAAACAAGTGCATTGAATCTTCT